CCCCCCAGGCCGTCATGATGAAAGACATCGCCCACACCGCCGCCATCATGGTCCGCCAGGGCAAGACCCTCCGCGGCGCCCTCGCCGCCAAGACCCGCACCCTCAACTCGCGCCTCGCGTCCCACAAGGCCGTCGTCACGGCCGAGGCCAAGGCGGCCGAGCGGGCCAGCAAGAAGGCGGCCGGCGAGCCGGTGTCGGACTCGGAGCCCGACAGCCCTACGCTCGAGCGGGAGAGGCAGGAGAAGGAGAGGCAGGAGCGCGAGCGCCAAGACCGGCAGCTGCAGCGCGCCGAGCGGATCCACGGGATGCTGCGCGCTGCGGCGCGCGGCCGCGGCCGCGGGCGGCGCGGGCGCGGGCGGGGGCGCGGCGGCGGGCACGGGGCGGTGTACGAAGAGGATCCGGCGGCGCGGCGGCAGCGCGTGGCGGCGGCGGGGCCGAAAGAGACGGATCTGCGGACGGATGAGAACGCGATGCTCTCGTTCGGCCAGCGGGTGCGGCCGGGGCAGGCCGGCGGCGTGCTGGGGATCGCGGCGACGTGGGGCGGCCTCGCCAACGGGGCGAACGCGGAGGGCATGCCGTTCGGCTGGGGCCGCCCGATCGTCGGCGCCGTGCCCGGTCCGGCGTCGTCGATGCCGCCAGGGAGCTACCTGGAGAGCGTCGCGCGCTTCGCGGCCGGCGCGGGCGCGCGCGTGCACGCGCTGGTGCAGCAGCTGCTCGGGCCGCAGCTGCGGGCGCTTGAGCCGGAGGCAGTCGCGCAGAGGGCGGCGCAGAAGGCGGCGGCGGCGGCGCAGCAGCAGCAGCAGCAGTAGCAACAATAGCAGCAGCAGCAGTAGCAGAAGCAGCAGGCGGGGATGGGAATGGGGGTTGAGCCCGCTCGAGCGAGCGTGCCTTGAGCTACCTTCGTGGCTGGGCGTCCCGTTGCAGGGTTTTTTTACCGTCCTTGTATGTATGCATGCCACCCTCTGTCCCTGCACACTTGTATGAGTAACGCGCTTCTTTACAAAGGAGCTTCATGGTATTGTTGAACAGCCAGCTTGACGGGATCAGCTGCAGACGTGGCCAACCTACTGCACCCTTCCTTCGGGTGGAGACAGCACCTGGAGCCGCACGACCTTCATGCAGCACACACAAACGTCTGACGGTTGCCTTGGCCCTTCTTCCACGGATGATATACACTGAAGCACTCTTTTACGTCAAATAACCACGATGCCCGCGCTGTTGACTAAGGCTCTCCGAGCCGTCATGCCGACAAGCCGGGAGGGAGCCACGAGGTGGGCAGCAAATCGCCCCCTAATAGCGTGAAAACGGGTTTTGTTAGCGTAGATTCCGCTTGCGCGACCCCAAGATGACAGCAAGGACCTCGCCCATCGGACATTGGCGTGTTTGATGAGGGGGGGTCTTCTTGTTGCAGCAGCCGTGCTGCTTGTGGTGCCGTTGGCAGCTCAACAAGACGCGCCGTTCAGCGGGGGCTACTGCGGCCGCCTCGAGCCGCGAGCGCGGGCGCTGTGCGCCGCACTTGCTGGCGCAAGCGCCCCGCAGCGCCAGTCAATCGCGGCAGAGTGGAAGCAGACCCAGCCGGGATCATGTGAGTGGGAAACGAGGCTGCGTCGAGGCTTTTTTGTGTGCCCTTGCGCCCAAAGAACGAGGCTTTATCGGGACCCCCGCACGTTTTTACGAGATGGCAGCGTTAGCACCCACACCACTGCCAAGTAGGCAGCGCTTCCGCACGTCGACTTCTGTTGCTGGAAACCAAGTCCCATGCTTGTACGCATCGCCTTGAACACCTTTCACGCCCTTACAGTTGAGTGCGCGGGGCTTAGCGATGTGTGCCTGGAGCGGGGGCTGACATGGGCGCCAGGCTCGCCGCACTGCCGGCCGCTCACCGTCGGCTCGCCGTGCGGCGCGGCGGCGGCGGCGCTTGGTGGAGATACCGCATTGGCTGGCAGCTGCGACGCCTATGGGGAGTGCCAGCCGGGCGACAGCGCGGCTGCATCAGTGTCAGCAGCCAAAACCGCAGCAGCAGCGGCAGCAGCAGTGGCAGCCTCAGCAGCTGCTGCGGCATATGAAGCTGCAGGGACACCAAGAGAAGGTGCGCCTGCAGGTGCTGCAGCCGCAGAAGCTGCTGCAGCCTCGGCAGCGTTGGCAGGTGCAGGGCTCCACGCGCCAAGCATGGCAGCGATGCTGCGGCGCGCATCACGGCGCAGGCGCCTGATGGCCAACATTGAAGACATCCTGATGGCGGAGGCCCAATCGTTGGGCCAAGAAGGCGCAGCAGTCAAAAAGGCAATCTTTATGCCTGGCGCTGGGGCGCCAGCAGCGTATTCCATGTCAACCCAGCAGCAGGGGCAGCAGCAGGCCGCGCAGGAGTGGGCCCGGCAACAGCAGGCGTGGGCGATGCAGCAGCAGCGGGTCGCGCAGCAGCAGCGGGAGAGAGCCAGGCGGCAGCAGCAGCAGCCGCAGCCGCAGCCGCAGCCGCAGCAGCAGCAGCAGCAGCAGCAGCAGCAGCAGCAGCAGCAGCAGCAGCAGCAGCAGCAGCAGCCACAAGAGAACCCACAACAGCAGCAGCAGCCGCAGCAGCAGGTGGCGGGGAAGCAGGCGCCTCCTTCGTCCTCAGCCTCCCCCAAGCTGGTCCCTATGCCCATCAGGCTGTCACTGCCAACGGGCTCAGTGGGTGCGGCCCCGGCGGCCAAGCCTACGCCGTCAGTGGCCAGCCCTGCGGTATCAGCGGCGCCCGTCAAGCCCGCCACGGCCAAGCCCGACGCCGGCCCCGTCCCTGGGCAGCCAAAACCGTCCCCCGTGGCCAAGCCCGTCGCCGCCCCCGCCCTTTCGCAACCAAAACCGTCCCCCGCGGCCAAGCCGGCCGCGCCGGCAGCCAAGGTGCCCGGTGGGTCCCCGAAGCCGCCTGCAGCGGCAGGCAAGGCCCCCGCGGCAGCGGCCAAGCAGCCTGCATCATCCGCCAAGCCCAAGCCCGAAGCCAAACCACTCAAATCGCCAGGCCCGCCGCCGGCGCCACGGCCGCCGGCGCCAAAGGCGGCCCCCGCCGCGCAGCGCGACGCGAGCGCGCAGCGCCGGGCCTGGTGGGGGGAGGCATTTGACCTTGACCAGTATCAGCCGCCGGCCGAGGTTGACGCGGGGCGGCTGGTGATCACAATAGAGCCGTCCGAGGCGACGAGCAAGGCCATACCCGAGAGCTTCCTTGGTGAGGGGCGTGAGGGTATGCCTGCCGCGCATCGGGCAGCCTTCGCTTGGCCGCGCAGCCGGGGTGAAGGGCCCAGCACGGCGCGACCGACGGCAGCGGCATGGCATGTGCGCATGCTATGCAGCCGGAACTGTACACATGGTGGGTGAGGCTTCCCAGTGAGGTGGCTGCCGCAGCTGCCCCTGGCAGCAATGTGTGCGCCCCCCTGAGTCTGGATTTCTTGCGCCGTTGATCACCCCTCCATATATCAACTTGTGGTCTCACACGAAACTCCCTGCTTTAACGCGCCCCCGCAGGCACCAGCCACGAATGGGGCGCCCTTGAAGACCTGGGTTCGGATCCCGACGGCGCTGCCGCATTTTCAAACATCTTCCGCGCCCTCGGACGCTCCCCGGTCCTGCGCATCGGCGGCCACTCCCAGGAGGTCCTCGCGGCGGCGCCGTCGGAGCGCGCGTGGCGCGCCCTGGCGGGCTTCAAACAGAGCGTCGGCGCGCGCTTCATCATCGGGCTGCCGCTGGCGGAGAGGGAGTCTGTGGCCATGAGCAAGCGCATGATGCAGGACGCGGCGCGGTGGCTGGGAGATGCGGTGATCGCGTTCGAGCTCGGCAACGAGCCGGGTGAGGCTGTCTTTGGGGGTCCTTTGCTGAGGCACAATCCTTGACGTGCATTGGGCGCTGTGGGGTGAGGGCCATGGTCGCGGCAGTTGCGCAGGCGCCCCTGCAACATGTTGCAGGGGCGCCTGCGCAACTGCCGCGACCGTGCAACATGTTACAGGCAGCCAGATCACAAAAATAGATCCAGCTGCCGTAGCACTGGCGCGACGCTCCCAGCCATCGCGCTATGAGCACCCGCTTCCCGCCACACCGCCTCGCACCTCACGCTCCCCCGCCCACCCCGCAGACATGTGGCTGCGCCGCACCGGCGGCTGGGACGGCGCGACATGGCAGCGCGGCTTCGGCGCCTATGTCAAATATTTCCACGCCACAGCCGACAAGCTGGCGGAGTGCGGCGCGCGGTCCGCCGCGGATTCTATCGCCGCGAGTGGGTTTGGGGGCGCGCGCGGGCGCGGATCCGGCTGGGCGCTGCTGCGGGGCCCCTGGAGCGGGTGACAGTGCCGCACGGCGCCCTGTCTGCGCTGCACAAATGGCTTCAGGCCCCCTCTCACAGCTAGTACGTTGCATCGGCCCGCCCACTTGCTCGCTGATCCCGTCTGCTTCTTCCAACATCCTGGCACAATGCGCCTGTTACAGGGGAAGTGAAGCTTCTCACTTCCTGAGCCACGCGCATGCCTCCTCCCCTCTTCAAAATTCACCTGCTCAAACACGCATGCCTCCCTACCCGGCCGCCCGACCCGTGGGCAGTCTCCAACACCGCGTTTGGCGATGGCATCAACGAGGCCGACCGCGACGCGTTTGAGCGGGAGCGCGCCGACACCCTCAAGGCGCAGCAGGAGTATCTGCTTGCCGCGATGGGCGCCGCGCCGAGTGAGCTTTCTGCTCGATTGCCGCATGCAACCGCATGCCGCCCCGCATGCAGCTGCATGCTGCCGCATGCAACCGCACGCCGCCGCATGCAACCGCATGCAGCTGCATGCGGCCGCGTGCGGCGGCCACAACAGAAACACACCGATATCTCTGGCCTTGACCTGTGCGGGGCTTGGGGCAGTGGTGTGGGTTGTATGCGCAGCCTAATCAAGCTTGCCATGCAGGATTGTGGAGAGAGGCACGACGCCGTGCTGCCACGAAACTCTTGGCTTGCAGGCGGCTCGGGCCACCTGCGGCGGCGCTTGGCGGCGGCAGCGAACGGCACCATCCCCCTCCTAGGCGACGGCAGCAGCAGCAGCAGCAGCAGCAGCAGCAGCAGGCGCCTGCAGCAGGCTGGTCAGAAGCCTCTCTTCATGGGCCCCGCCTGGTGCGCGGCTGCCGCACTGGCGTTACCGCACCCTGCGCTCGCAATGCGCGTGCTCACACACCTGGGGGCCAGCTGCCGTCAGTGGGGCCTCTGCTGTGCCTGATTTGTTCGGACGCCAGCGGCGGCCATGACTGCTGTGCACCTGCACATGAGCCTGCAGAGCCGCCCTTGGCTCGCAGGCTGTCTGCGCGCGCTGTGCGCTTGGCCACCCCAAGCTTGCCCGACCCACCGCTCCAGCAAGCGCCCAGTGCAGGTGGCTGAGCAGCCACTTCCTGCGCCCCCGTTTGCGACTCCTGAACCCGGATCAACTGGCTGTATCATCCCCCTCTCGGCCGGCAGGCACAACGTCTACCTCACCCCAGAAAGCCTGGCGCTCCAGGGCCGCGTCGCAAAGGACTGCGGCTACATGCACTCGCTGTCCGTGCACTACTACTGCTGGAAGTGCGCCGAGGCGATCCGCCAGCGCGGCGCGGGCATCGGCGGCCTGCTGGATGAGGGGGAGATGCAGGCGGCGGCTGCGCAGATGGGGAGGCTGGTGGCGGCGGCGGAGAAGGAGGGGCTGCCGCTGCGTATCAGGTGGGCGCGTCCGGGCACGACAGGCCGCCGCGTGTGATTGCACCGCCGCCGAGCGCGGCGCCCGCCATGTTTGTATTGTGGCAGCAAGCACTCTGCGCAGTGGATGCGTCGTGCACCGCAGTGCTGGACCAACAAGCCAAAATTGCTGAATACAATCACGCTTTCACATCTCGAACTCACAATCCTGACCAATCAACACTCGACCAGCGAGGCCAACTCCATCAGCGGCGGTGGCATGAAGTGGTACAGCGAGTCCTACGGCGCTGCGCTCTGGACTGCGGACTTTGCGTTCGAGGCGGCGCGCGCCGGCGTGTCGGGCGTCAACATGCACTGGGGCATCGGAGGGTGAGCGGTACCGCACGTATCTTGCCGCCCTGTATTTTGTTTAGAATTTTGATTGAGACTTGTGGTGCGAGCCTTGCGAGCCTGGCTTTGCAGGTGTTGGCCAGGGGTGGCCACAATTGCGGCCATGCAGGCGCCTGGCCGCCGGCTGGCGTGCCATGCACTGTGCTGGCGGCGGCGCCCCCGCGCCCCCGACCCGCATTCACCAGCAACTCAACCTGCCGGTCACGCAACCCCCTCTTACAAGCCTGACGTGCACCCGTCCACTGAAAACCGAGCAGCACCGCGACCGGCGGCGGCCCCGCCTACACTGGTGTCCAGACCAACTACCTCTCCTCAGGAAGGCCCTACCCCTCGGTCCACGCCCCTTGGTACGGCTACCTGCTTTTCAGCCACGCCACCCAGGGCGACGGCGCCGCGCGCTTCGTCAAGGCGACCCGCGACGCCGGCAGGTCGAGCTGCGGCGCCGCGATCAAGGTGTTTGCGCTGAAGGGCGGCGACGTGCCCTCGATGGGCCAGGTCGGGCGCAGCCTGCGGCTGGTGGTGATAAACAAGGACGAGGAGAAGGCGTGCAACGTGACCCTCAGCGCGGCCGGCGCTTGGGGCGACGGCAAGGCGGTTTGGCTGCTGCCCGGGGCCAAGGGTCTCATGTCCAAGGTTGGCGTCACGTTCAGGGCGCAGCACTATGAGGGCACCCTCGATGGCGTAATCGCCGGGACGGCGCTGATGCAGCCGGTCGCGCCGGTCAACGTCGCGGGAGTTGACCGGGGTAGTGGCGGCGGCGGCGGCGCGGGGGTGCGGACAGAGTACACTCTGGGTCGCCTCGCGCCGGGCCGGGCGGTGGTGGTGACGGCCCTGGCCGCGTGAAGGCCGCTGAATTGGGGCCTGCCCGCCGCCGCCTGCCGCGTGCCGGCCGGCGCCTCTCGGCCGCGGCTAGCTGCCCCCGGCCGCCTGCTCTGCGCCGCCTCCTGGCCTGGGAGCGAACTGGACATTCAGGAGCTCAGTTCTGTGGCATTGTTGCACCCATTTTTGGCTGCAATGCCAAAGCCCAATCGGCTCCCAGCCCTGCACTGGGAGCCCTCTGTTTCTGCTGCCGCAAGTGCTCAGCTAATGCACTGCCCTTCCTTCCCTCCTCGCCCGCGTCCAGCGCTCTTTGCGCGGTGCAGCTTCCAGAATCGACGACTCATCGTCGCATCCCAGTTGTTGCCGGTCCAGCAATATCAGCTGGCATGGCACCCGTCACAGCACACAGAGCCCTATGCGGCAAAATGTGTGGCTCAGGCAGTGCGTGCAGGCACCCAACACCCATGGCGACATGAATTGCCGTGAACATACACTGTGCGGCCTGTGGTCTGCCCTCATGATCATGGGCAACTAGCCCCAGGGCAGACCGCTGCGGCGGGCAGGCGGGGCTGGCCTGAGAGCCGCAGCGGCGCGCCGCTTTGCATGTGCCTGCATTTCTTTTCTGCACTCAGGGCCTCCTTTTGGTCCGTCAAATGAATTGTATGAACTTGCCATCCCAACTCTTGCAAAATGTGACCATCTACTCAATTTTGTTGCCAACATGCGTGCAGTTGCAGAGCAGCGGCGCAGCATGAGCCATCAGCTACCGACGGCAAGCAAAATCAGCCTTTGAACCCCTGTAGCAGTTGGCCAAGTTGATCGTTGCGCTGTGAATGGGCCCCCCGGAGCATTGCAACGGGGTGGTGGATCTCTGCGAGGTGAAGGCCTTGATCAGGGCCCATGAAGGCTGAGGCCTGCACACTTCTTGTCCCCACAGTCACCTGCTGGGCAGCTGCCCCACCTCCTGTGGTGCTAGATGCCGACAGGCTCCCACATATAAGGGCTTCGCCCAGGGCCCTGCAGGCTCCAGCCAATACAAGCATTTATGCTGTCACATGTACGAGGAGGTACAAGGAGTAGTTGGAGGCTTGGCAGGGCGGCTTTCGGGCTGCTGGCAAAGGTGGCGGACAGTGACACCTGCCCAGGCTATGTCATACATGCATGTCTGTGTAATGCATTACATTCACTGTGTAGATGTCACATGGTATGATAAAGTGCTGCATCTGTCCACGTTCTCATGATCCCAGAGTCCCAGTTTCACCATCGATCACCCTGCGTGGTCTACGCAATACGACAAATCTCAAGTGTTCAAGTAATAGGCGACCTTTCTTAGCAACGTGCTTGAACCCGCGAGCACCGATCTAATCAAAGCTAGCACCTTGACGCCCCTTGACTTACTCTGCAAGCAGCGCAATGACATCTACAAGTGGAAGACGGCACGAGGGTATGCGTCCAGGAACAACGGAGCGGCTCTGGCGTATGAACGACCGCAAGGTACGTGCGCAATTGCAGCGCCGCCGCTCACGGTGCTGTTCCTGCTTCTCAGCTGCATGGCGCTCTGCTGCACTCCAGCACTCCTTCATTCGAGCTGTGCATCTCGGAGTTTCGCAGCTTAGCAACTGCCTGTGCATGCGTGGATCATGGGGCTTGCAGGCCCAGAAGCAGGGCGAGCATGGCACAGTATTCCGCACAAATGGCGAGCAGTACACCGGAGAGTGGCACGACAATCAGCGGCACGGTGCGGCGCATGTGAAGGGTTAGCGTTGCGGACACTTGTGTGCATTCATTCAAGCATGCATGCGCCCTCGCATCGATGCTGATGTGACGTCGAATCCAGCAAGGGGCGAGCGACGCATGATGCGAGCAACAAATGGCGCGCCGCATGCATGCACATGCAGGCAAGGGCGTGCTTATCTATAAAAACCGCGACAGATATGAAGGTGAGGCGCAGTGGGGCATGCAACAGGTGCGGCCAGCCAGAAGCCTCATACGTCCGCTGTGAAACGGCCGCATGCATGACGTTGTGCGGCCGTGGCTGTCTGCAGCTAGCTTCGGCCCCGCCCACCAACTCAGGCGACTGGAACGGCGGCGTGCGGCACGGCCAAGGGACGCTGTGGGTGCACCGCGACGGGCGGTACTATGTGCGTTACAGCGGCGACTGGTGCGAAGACCTTCCAGAGGTGCGTGGGGCACCAACTTGGTAATGAGGACAAAATTGTGCTGTGTGTCGCACACGCGTGCGCAGGCGCACCAGCAGGCATATTTGAAGCAGGGAGGAACGGCGTGACCACGGCCATGGTATGGCTGACTCTGTTTGGCTCATCAAGCCTCTTGACGTCGATGCTGAGAAAGCAACGCTTGAATACAAAACACCGAGCAGGGCCAGGGCACCTTCTTTGACGAGAACGGGGACAGCTACGAGGGCGCCTGGCGCGCGGGGCTCAGGGAGGGGCTGGGCCGGGCAGTGTACGGCGGGCGGCCCGGCGACGGGTACGGAGGTGACGTGTACGAAGGGGAGTGGTCGAGTGACGTGAGGTGGGTGGCTGCATGAGGGTCATGGCGGACGACGTGTTGGGCGCGAGGCAATTCATTGGCAGCAGAAGGGCATAACATTAACAGTGCAGGGCTTTGGCCACCCAAAGGCCGCATCAATTTTGACTGCAGCCAGCAGCTTGAGTGCGTGAGGTTTCCGGCCGTGTCTTGCCAGCATATGTCCAGCAGTTCCTGCGCATGTCGTCTGCTCTACAAAGCGAGACTGTCCCCATGCATGAGTGGGTGTGCAGGTAACAACACAGGCATTAAGACAGCGCGGCCGTTCCTCTGTGCAAACACTGCAGGCACGGGCGCGGTACCATGGCGTTTGGCAACGGCGACGTGTTTGAGGGGGAGTGGCGGTTCGACTCCAAGCACGGGCCAGGGACGTTCACATACAACAGCAGGGGCCGCAGGTCCGTGTAAGACTATGAAGGGGCAGAGGGTTCTCCGGGGTGGCTGCTGCCTGAATTCAAATCTCTCGCTTACACCCCATGCACATGATTTGATGCGCCCCCACTGTCTCCTCATCCTACAATCAACATCTTTCGCCACCGCAATGCATTACGACTCTGTGCCAGGTATGACGGGGTCTGGGACTCTGATGTTCCAAAGTGTGGCAGCTACTCGGAGATCAGACCCTCGCCTCCCGGCGCCGTGGGCTCAATCCCCAGCGTCGAGCTGGCGTGCCCTGAGACGGTGTTGACGGAGGCCACGACGGCGGCAGCGGCGGCGGCAGCGGCAGCGGGCAGTGGGGAAGGACCTCCTTGTCTGCAGGCATGATGACGACTGTTGTAATCGCAACGCTGCAGCAGGATTCCTGAACAATAGTGAGAATACTGATTACTGCACATGTTTGAATCCTTTTGTTGCCAACCCTGAATATGCGCTCGTTTCGCTTGGGTGACTGGCTGGACAAGGTGTCTTGAGCGCATCAGAACGTTCCAGTGGAGGTTGGACTTTCATGATGTCCCCACCAGGCAGTCGCCCGGAGCTCATTCGCAGGGCGCTTGAAACATACAATTTCGGGTTCCGTGACCACTTCCACGGGCGTCACTGCTCCGATCAAGTGATCTGTTTATCGAGACCGGGGCGCTGGCGGAGCTAACGGGTTGAGATCTTGGTAATAGGTCCAGGGAATTCGGGTGATAAGAAAGATGACTCGGGGTTCGGTGCAGTAAGGCGCGCGCACGCGTAGGGAGTGACAGGCAGCGCTGCACCGCTGCAGCAGCAACGGGCCCTGCAGCGGAGCGCTTCGCACTGCATGTACCCTTGTCCGCCAATGGCCATTGCGCAGTTCTGATATGCGTCTTTTGCTGTCCAGCCGGGCTAGCCTGCGATGGGCCCATCGGGCGCCCACAGCCACTGCCAGATGGTTTGGCAGTGGGCAGCTGCTCGTTTGCGCTATGCAGCCTACATGCAAGCTGCATGTCAACTCCTCAACAGCTGCCCTTTGACCACGCACGCAGGCCAGAGATATCATGGCTTTGACCAGGGGTGCGGCGCTGTTGCTCGCAGCGCTGGCAGCGCTGTCCCTGGCGGCGCCCGCGCGTGCTTTGTACAGCGCCAGCTCGCCAGTTGTGCAGCTGACGCCCGAGATTTTTGAATCCAAGATCAAGGGCCGCGGAGGCGTCTGGATCGTGGAGTTCTACGCGCCTTGGTGAGCTGCAGGATTCAAACAAATTGTGAGAGCATTGCCGGGGTGTGCAGTTGGCTGAACTGGAGTTGCAGAGGGTCAGGCAGGACCACGTGGTTGCGCCCGCAGGATCCTGCTCGCCTAGTCAGCGCCGGAGCTCCGCTGCGCTGCCCCACCAAACCCCGTCCCGCGCGGCTCCTCACCCGGTCGCCCCGCCGCCCCCGCCGCCGCAGGTGCGGCCACTGCAAGTCCCTGCAGCCCGCGTGGGAGGCGGCCGCGGGCGCGCTCAAGGGCGTCGTCAACGTTGCGGCGGTCGACGCCGACGCGCACCCCTCCCTGGCGCAGCAGTACGCCGTCCAGGGGTTCCCCACGATCAAGCTTTTCTATACGAATGAGGCAGGCAAGGTCGTCTCGGGGTCCTCGGACTACTCGGGCGCCCGCGACGCGCGCTCCATCGTCGGCTGGGCGGTCGACAAGGCGCGCGCGTACGCCCTCAAGCGCCTCGGCGGCGGCGGCGGCGGGGCGGACGCGGGCGCGGGCGGTGGCGGCGGCGGGCGGCAGCAGCGCGCGAGCGGCGGCGGCGGCGACGGCGGGTTCTATTCGGGGACGGATGTGGTGACCCTCACGGACTCGAACTTTGACCGGGAGGTGCTGCAGAGCGACGACTTCTGGCTGGTGGAGTTTTACGCCCCCTGGTGAGCCCTCCAGTGTTGCTGGGTTGGCTGGCCTGGCTGCTGAAGGCTGTGGGTTGGAGGGCGTGGCTGTTGAAGGCTGGGGCTCACAGCGTTGACCGCATTCGGGGCTGATTGTGGTTTCGGCTCACCGACATGTTCTGAAGCCGCCCCTGCTAGTTTCTTCTTTTATCACACTTGCTTTGCTGCTGCCTGAGCGTTTGCAGTCATCATTAGGAATGGGTTTGTCAGAGTCACTGTCAACGTCTGAACCAACATTGATTCCGACCAATGCTCGTGACAAGGTGCGGGCACTGCAAGTCGCTCAAGCCGGCGTGGATCGAGGCTGCATCGGAGCTCAATGGCCGTGTCAAGGTTGGGGCCGTCGACTGCACCGCTCACCAGGCGACGTGCAGCCAGTTTGGCGTGCAGGGTGCGTGCGCTGGGGTGCTGCAGGGAGCAACGGTCGCAGGGAAGGACGTGCGGCAGTGCTGCGGGCGCAGTCGGCAAGTGCGTCTGGTGCGGTTGTGGGCGGAGGCATCGCGCATGCTGCTGCCCAGCGGTTACTTGTGATGTGGCTGGGCTGTTGCCCCAGAACTGCGCATTGACCTGAGGCGTTGCTGTGATACATCCACTCCGGCCCCCAATCGTCCAGGCTACCCCACCCTCAAGTTCTTCGCCCGCAACAAGGACAGCCCTCAGGACTACCAGGTGAGTCACAGGCGTTGCCACCAGCGCTGGGTGTGAATATTGCAAGGATCGACTGCGGCTGACCAACGGGCTCCCGAACCTGGCCGCAGATGGCCGGGTGCACTGTGCACGAGTGGGAGGGTTTGGATGCAACCTCCGGTCATGCAAGGCGATGGTTGGCCTATCTGCAATGCAAGGAGAAGATGCTGCGGCACCCACTGCGCTTCCGACCCATCTCAGTCCAACCTTTCATGTAATTGCCGGGCCGCATCAACCGCAACAGGGCGGCCGCGACTCTGGCAGCATCGTGAACTTCGCAGTTGAGCGCTGGAGCTCCGCCAAGCCGCCGCCGGAGGTGCGCATGCAGCATCTGCTGTGCCAAAGCCCTTGGCTCGCGTGCGAGCCCTTTTTGTGAACGACAGTGGCTTTGCTGAAACTAAGCCTGGGGGCGCCTCTCCGCCTGGTGCCGCCCGGCCCTGCGTGTTGAGCGAAGCGCCGGGCGCCCTCCCATGGTTTGGCCGCCTTTCCATGTTGCGGAGGCGCACAGCTCAAGCAGCGTTGCCGCGCTCTCTGACGACGCACCGCCCATGACATCACCATGACATCATCCCAGGTCAGGGAGCTGGTGGACCAGGCAGTCCTGGAGACGGAGTGCATAGGCTTCCACGTGCCGGGCCTCGAAAACGTGCGCGGCAGACCCCTGTCGCCATCCGCCCGCCTCCCCTGCCCCGCACGTTCCCGGCGCTTTGAGTCGCAGCCGCATTGCTTCCTGGCCCGGTTTGCTGGTGTTGGCCCTGCCGGACGTCCGGAGACTCCCATTGCTCGTTGATGTTGCCCAGCCGACCCCTCACTTGCGTGCCGGCAAGTGTGTGCTGGAATACCCACCCACCAGGAGCGCGATCGCACCTCTGCTCATGCGTCTGATGGCTTCAACACTTGGGTGTACTCAAAGGCTCAAGCAACCCTCTCTTTGCCCGCACCCGCCAGTCCAAGCCGCGCCAGCTCTGCTTCTTCGCTTTCCTCCCGGACATCCTGGACACGGGGGCCGCGGGCCGCAATGCGTACATCCAGATCCTCAAGGACCTCGCCTCCAAGTGAGGGCCGAATTGGATCTGATCTGTCATGATCTGAGTTGGTTTGGGTCTGTCACGGGTGACCAAACTGATAGAGGGACTGCTTGACTGTGCTGCTGCATTGGAAGTGGCCGCATCAAGATATTCAAGAGGCAGGGATGAGGACTGGACAGGGCCCCTGAAAAGGGCTTGATTCCTTTGTGTCCCCTGGGCTCGCTTCCAACCTGCTATCCAGGATGTTGACCGCGCCGAGGGCACTCCCACTCGTCAACCCCCCAGGTACAAGGCGCGCCCCTTCGGCTACCTGTGGGCAGCCGGCGGCAAGCAGCCCGGCGTTGAGGCGGCGCTCGGCGTTGGCGGCTTTGGGTACCCAGCCCTCGTGGCCTTCAACCCGAAGGACGGCAAGCTCTCCACCATGAGGAGGTGCGCCGCTGATGTACTTACCAATATTCATAACATGTTTATCACGGGAGCGGGGAATCCTTATGTTCAGGGTTTCGAGTGTTCATGCAGCGTCACGTGGTCGCCCGCTTCTGGAGCCATCCAGGCTCGTTGGATCGGGTTTTGAAGCCTTGATGTTGCAAGGCAGCGGGGCCGGGGCTTGATCTTGGGCCGCGCTTCGGGTTTGGGGCGCCGCTGTGCCCGAGCTGCCGCCCTCGATAACGTGCACGGTGCACGCGCGACGCCAGCCCTCGTCCGTCGGAGCGTTCACCGCATGCTCGTCTTTTCCTTCATGTCATGCCGGGTGCATGTTGTATACATCCCCTGCGTATATTGCGTGTCGCAACCAACTGTTGACAAAACTCCCAACCACATTTTGATCGAACCGCAGCGCGTTTGAGGCCAAGGCCGTGACAGACTTTGTTGAATCCATCCGCCGCGGCTACGAGCCGGTCAGCCCCCTGGTGGGGGGCAAGGCCGAGCTGCCTGAGGCAGCGACCATCGCCCCTTGGGACGGCCGGGACGCGCAGGTGCGTGCGTGTGCGTTGGTGTGCGCGTGCATGTGATTGCGCGCGGGTGCACATGCATGTGTGAGATGAGTGCTTCACACATGCGCATGGGATGCCCGGTCAGGACTATCTGCGTGTGGTCTTCAAACGACTGCCCTGCAAGCCCAACTCTTCTGCAATTCACTGTGTGAGTCGCCGCTTGTGCTGTAGTTGTGCCTGCCGTCTTCCTTCCAACATGCACGTATCAATGGCATCCCGTCCCGCCCGGGCCCTCACCTCACCTCACCCCACCTTTCGCTACCGTCACCTCACCTCACCCCTCGTGTCAGGTTGACTTGGAGGACGAGTTCAGCCTGGATGACATCATGGGGGACAGCGCCAGCAGCGCAGGCAGCGACAAGACCGAGTTTTGACTGCGGGAGGGGTTCAAAGCCCACGGGAGGGTGGTGGCACCCAGGGATTCCGCCCGCACTAGTATCGGGGTTTGAAGCGAGGGGCAAGCTGGGCAGGGCATTCCGTGCGTGACTCTGCGGGGAGCAAGAGTGCGTCGAAGAGGACGGGGCGGTGGTTGTCCTCTGTACACCGCTGAGGTCACTGGCGCACACACGCTGCAGCGTGCTGCCCGCCGTGGACGCTGCCGCGTCATCGCGGGCGAGCTGTGCGGCTGTGCTTGTTGCTGACGCAGCGGCGGCGGCTTGCGACGACGTGTGCTGGTTTGCTTGCATGCATGCACAGTGTGGACGGTGTGTGTTGTGGCAATGTACCGGCGTGATGGCTCTTGGCATGGGCGGCCACAACCTTCCTTCTTGGTAACACATGCTCTGCCCCCAAAGCATCCACTCCACTCCCGAGCATTTTCGAGAGGGGGGGAGGGGCGACGGCCACATCGTCGGCGTGTCGGGGAGGATGGACCATTCATTGCTGCCTGCAGCTTTGTTTGTTGCTGCCGTGGTTGCCTCGCCTTGGCGCACGTGTCATTCGCGATGCATCTGCCCCCAAGCAGCGGCGCGCCTGGAGGCCGCGCAACGTGGCTGCAGCTCGCTGAACGCCGTGAGTCAGCGAAAGCGCAATGCCAATGTCGCGGCAGCGACAGCGCTGCGCACCGCTGACCACAACCTATCCGGCCTGTGGGTCGCGCCGCACGGACGCGCTGCGAGCGCCGGGCGCGACGTGGAGGCGCGGCAGCGCCTGCAACTCCTTGGCTCGTCCAGGCGGCGCTCGGTGCGATCTCTGCTTGCGACCAGCGCTGCCACGCTTCGCGAGCTTCACGGTGTGTCGCCTCAACCGCCTGCGACTGGCAACAGACAGGTACGCGAGCTCCTCGCCCACCACAGGTTCTCTCCAACGTGGGTCAGCGCGACAAGCTGTCACACTACGGCTCGCTGATATCCCCCCCCCCCCCACTATTGCTGCTGCACAGCGTGCCGACCCGTGGCCTCACGTAGGCCCTCAACTAGCAGCAGCATCGGCAGGGGCAGCTGCGTGCCTGGCAGGAACAAGAGCGGCGCGCAGGCAAGCAGCCCCTCGCAGCCAAAGCAGTTGCTCGCCCTGGAGGTGATTGGCGGGGGCTGCTGTTTCGGGAGCGGAGTGTCACAACGTCCCCCGGTCGCTGCTTTCGGAGCCATCCAGGCTCATGAGCTGAGTCTAGGACTTTTTGTGAAAAGCTGCTAAGGAAAATATGCGCGGTCGATGATGAGCTCATGCGCAGGGCACAGCTGGACAGTTTGTGACGTTATTAGGCAGCTGCGCATCAAACGGTCGTCAACCTGTTTTGGCAGGCGGGACTCAGCAGCATGGCCAGCAGTGGCAGGTCGCGCAACGCGCGGGGGCGCGGAGGAGGGCATGGCGCGCGGGTGCGCCAGCAGCAGCAGTAAAAGGATAAGGATTAGGATTGTTACAAGATTCCGCGGTCGCTCGCTCCTGAAGCCATCCAGGCTCATGGGATATGACTTGGTAGCATCAGGATTGTGTGACAAGGATTCAAGGGGCCATTCGCCGTTCAAAGCAGGCCTGCACGAAGCGGAACCCTAAACCGGCCAAAAAACCTCAACCTTCTGCAAGGACTCGACCCGCTCGGCGGCCGCTTCTGGGCAGCGCCACTTCTCACCCGCACACCCGACAAGCAGCCACCCTGCTGTGTTGCTGCCGCTGCGGGGCGCAGGGGGGCGAGCCCAGCCGCACCCAAAACACATATCTGTGATGATCAGCGGGCCAAAAAACGTTGTTCCCCCACAGGGACTCGACCCGCTCGGCGGCCGCTTCTGGGCAGCGCCACTTCTCACCCGCACACCCGACAAGCAGCCGGCCAGCCACGCACTCTGTCTGCGGCTGCGGGGCGCAGGGGGG